CCCCCCAGCACCTCGCCGCATCCTCGCCGCCTCTGGGTCCCACTCCGCGCCCTCTCCACGCGGCCCCGAGACCGCCCACCGCGCCGCGGACCGCCCCAACCGCGCCCCGGACCGCCCCAGCCGCGCCCCACCCCGCCTGCCTCCTCCATCAGGCCCCACCCCAGACCGCTTGCTGTGCCACCGCACAAGTTCCCCGTGCCCGGAGCTAGCGCCACGGACCCGGCTACCGATCGTGAGTTTAACAATCCGAGAGCGTTGCGGGTGGGGCGGGGGCCGAGAACCTGGGCTCGCTGGGGCGCCGCTTGGTGCCAGAAGCATGCCCAGGAATGTTCCCTCATTCAGGGTGTTTCTCTCTGTCTGGGTCCCGGGTTTCCTTTCGTGTACCCAGTCTGGTGCTGTTTGCTATTTTTCTGAAAACACTTTTCTCTCGCCTCTTTGAACCTGTGAATCAAAAATCTTACCAAGATGTATGCATGTACGTGCGCATGTCTGCGCACACGCGCGCACCTACTTCTTGAGAGTTGAGGTCAGGGTTCGGAGGAACTATTACTCATCTCTTGGGTTTTTTGTCTGTTTTTCCTGTTAGGCCCAGGGTACTGAAAGACTTCCCTTTCCAAGGTAGTTAACATGATCTTGATCTCAGGCTGCCTGACTTCTTTCGCTGCTTTTTCCCTAGTCCTAAACCAGAAAGCTGAGATCACTCGCCCTCATGGCCCACGATGCTCCATGTGGGTACCGGTTCTCTTTTGTGAATTCACTTTCCTGGGAGCATTACTGAGAAAGAGATGGTTAGATGGGCCGGGAAGTTAGAGGGTGATCAGGAGCTGGACTTCTATAGGAAATACAGGACATGTTCAGGGATGCTAAGCCTGCTAGAGGTTTGCAGAGAATGTATGTAGCAGGGACAAAAAGTCTGGAACACAGGGGAGAGCCCAGACCATGGAGGTCTTAGAATCCAGGGCAAGGCACTCAGCTTTTACCTTATGGAGAGTGGATGAAATCAGAGAGTTTTTATTACGAAGTGAAGTGGGTAGGATGGTTTGAGAAGATGGTAGATGAGAATCCATCCTGGGACTAAAGCCAGATGGGTTTAGTCTGGATGTGAATACAAGCGGAAGGCACTCACTCATGTTGGAGAGATCCGGTGCGAGAAGAACCAAGTGAGGTAGCCGACTGTCTATGGAAACAGGAGAGAGGAAGGAAGGAGGCAAAGGTAGAGGAAAACTTTGGTGTCTTAGTTTCGATTCTTCCCCAAAGCGAGGCCTGCTACAAGGACTGGAGCCGGGTAGCCTATTTGGGAAGTGAGCCCCAAATGCAGGTGAGGAAGTGGGGAGGGGGAGACCAGGAAGGAGGGAAAGGCAGCGAAGGGCTGAGCTGCTCACCACTGGGGCAGCTGGAGCTGAGCCCCTCAGGTGCTTGCTGAGGGACTCCTGGACACACGTAGGACAGCCGCTGTGGCACGTAGTCCACATGCCCTCCACTTCCCCGGGCTCAGGGCCACTGCAGGGCTGCCCCTGTGTACCTGCGGAAGTGAGGAGGCGTTCGAGTGCCCAGGAAGTACCTCCATGGCAGTTGCTGAAGTCAGGGGTAGGCCGAGGGGAGCAGACAGGCACCCAGAACATGGCCCTTGTCATTTGGGGAAGTTAGAAAGGTCAGCATAGGGACAGACCCTCATGTTTTCTCAGCACTCACTGTGTACCGAGAACAAGGTGTTTTCATGTGCATTCTCTTAATCTCCAAAAACGATCCTCCAAGGGATGTATTATTCTTTTTATAAGTGGGGAAACTGAGGCTTAAGTAATTTATCCAAGAGAAGCTGCTTTAAGGGAAAAAATAGCTGAATTTTAGGCACACTGACTTTTTAAAAATGTTATTTATATTTGAGAGAGAGAGAGAATGCATAAGCAGAGGAGGGGAGAGAGAAAGGGAGACACAGAAACTGAAGCAGGCTCCAGGCTCCAAGTTGTCAGCACAGAGCCCAAAAGAGGGCTTGAACCCTTGAACCGCGAGATCATGACCTGAGCCTAAGTCTGACGCTTCACAGACTGAGCCACCCAGGCTCCCCAGGCACAATGAATTTTAAAAGACCCCTGGAAAAAGAAAGCTACCCACACAGAGGTAGGGAACTCCTAGTTAGGGCAACCGTGATAAGTTGGGAGGCATTTCAATTCATTTAGTCAAAACTGTCCCCCAAAATGCAGTTTTCTGAAAGGTCACTTGACCGTTTTGTCCATAGAGATGCAGCACAATACTAAGTCAGCTCACACACATGGCTGTCACCTTGTACCAGGCTGTGCAGGACCCAGCCCCGCCCCCCTCAGCCATTCAGGTCGTGTTCTGCCCTGCCCAGGGCTACTTTGGGCTCCTACACATGCCACGTCTCAGCTGAAACGTCAGGTTACGCCTTGAAGGTCACTTCCTCATCTAGGCCTTTCCTGTCACACAATCTCAACGGACTCTCCAGTTACTTGATATCACATCACTTTCTTATTTTCATCCTAATGGTTAGGAATTGCTGTGTTTATGTTTGTCTACCGATTTATTTATTGTCCTTCCCCTGCTGAAATATCAGATTCATGAAAGTGAGGGCCTTGTCCGCGTGTGCCTTGCTGGGCCCCCTAGTGGTTGGCACACAGTGGGGAACCCAGTGAATGGTTTAGTTTGAATGCGTTTAGTTGTGTTTTCACTTGAAGCTTCATCAGTTCTGACCAAGCGCAGCCTTTCATCTCCTCTGCAGCAGCTGGTTGAACCATGGCGACAACTCCTGCCAGTGCTTTCGAGGCCCTCATGGATGGAGTGACAAGCTGGAATGTCCCCAAAGACCCCATCCCTAGTGAACTTCTTCTTATTGGAGAGGCCGCCTTCCCGGTGATGGTGAATGACAAGGGCCAGGTCCTCATTGCTGCCTCCTTCTACGGCCGAGGCCGCCTGGTGGTGGTGTCCCATGAAGGCTACCTGCTGGATGCTGGCTTGGTTCCATTTCTTCTTAATGCAGTGGGTTGGCTCTGTCCCTCACCTGGGGCTCCCACTGGAGTGCACCCATCCCTGGGATCACTAGTAAGTATCCTGCAGGGCTGTGGGGTTCAGGCACAGATTCAGCCGGAACTGGGGGCCCCCTTGGGGGTTTACTGCATCAGTGCCTACCATGATAAGATGACTGCAGAGCTGATCCAGTATGTGAAACGTGGAGGCGGCTTGCTCATCGGGGGCCAAGCCTGGTATTGGGCCAGTCAGCATGGTCGTGACAATGTGCTGTCCAGGTTCCCCGGGAACCAGGTGACAAGTGTGGCTGGAGTGTACTTCACCGACATCTATGGGGACAGAGGACGGTTCAAGGTCTCTAAGAAGGTACCCAAGATCCCACTCCATGTCAGGTGAGTGGTGTTTCCCTACGGGGAGTCGGACGCATGGTAACAATAGATTTGATCTCCCTCTTGGATGAGCTTCCATTTTCACACACGTGATTCTCCACTCTGTTTTGGAAGCACCACAAGGCAAACACAGGGAGGGAGGCTGGGTTCTCACCGCCACCCTGTTCTGTGTCCAGATAGAAGTGTTTGCTTTATTCATCTCTCCGTCTCCCGTGTCTAGTGCCCAGGATGGGGAGAGTGCTTATCAAGATCTCTTAAACAAATCAAAGAACACTGGTTTATTTGTGTGAGCTCAGCCCACTGCCAGCCCCATACAGCACACCAAGTCCTACTACCTGCTCATTTATATGCTGGTGGAGAGTTAGGCAATTAAGAAAACAAATAAATATAAACTCTAGCAGGTGTTGATAAGAGCTACAGGGAAAGTAATGCAGGATAAGTGGACAGTGACAGGGAGGGGAGTGGAGGGCACTGAGGGTCATCAGGGAAGGCTTATCGGTCAGGCCCCGTCAGGACTAGTTGGTGTTTGAAACAGAAGGACTTAATATAAGAACTTGACTATGCAGGTGAGGGAGGAACTGGAAAGCCACACAAGAGACAGCACAGTAATGGAGGGCTTAGTGACAGCATGACCAACAGAGGGAGGTGGCCTTGTGTACTGGAGCCCAGGTTCTGAGTCACCTGGTAGGAGCCTGTGTAGCAGGAGCTGGGACCCCAGATGGAGGGGTGTCTGTGGGACCTGGCATCTCAGAGTAGACACCGTGAGTGCCAGAGACACAGCCTGAAGAGAGAGACACAGACCTCGTCTCCTTCTTGTTGCCTGCCTGCCTTCAGTCTTCTTTCTGCCTCTGCCTCCCATGGGCGTACCCACCAGAAGCCCGAGAGCAAGGAAGCCAGGGAAACACAATTCCCTAAAATGGAGAGCATGACAGAGGAGCGTGGGGAGTGGATAGGAGTGCAAACAAGAAAACGGCCACCTTGGAAGGCTTCTCTGGTCTGGTCAGGTGATAGCTAAGAGATCTGAAAGAATTTCAAGAATGAGCCATATGGACATCTGTGAAAAGAGAACTGAGGAGGCGCCTGGGTGGCTCAGTCAGTTGAGTGTCCTACTCTTGATTTTGGCTCAGGTTAAGATCTCATGGTTCGTGGGATCAAGGCCCACATCGGGCTGTGCTGATAGCGTGGAGCCTGCTTGGGATTCCCTCTCTCCTTCTCTCTCTGCCCCTCCCTAACCTGCATGTGCTCCCTTTCTCTCTCTCTCTCAAAATAAATAAATACACTTTTAAAAAGAAAAGAGAACTCAGGCGGAGGGGGGAGCAAAGGTGAAAGCCCGAAGCAGAAGCCCGCCTGATTTGTTGCAGGAACACTGAGGAAGCTGGTATGACCGGAGCTGGGTGAATGAGGGCTGGTGTAAAAGGATGTGAGGTAGTCCTTGGCAGCGCTCTGGGTCTTACTGGAAGTGAGAGAATTTGGGTCAGAGGACTGACAGGAAGTACCTGCATTTCAAAAGGGGCCTTCTGATTGATGAAGAATAGGCTGTAGGAGGCAGGACTGAAGCAGGACACCAGTCAGGAGGCTCCCGAAACAGGCTACCTAAGAGGTACCGTGGCTCACACCAGGGTGACGGCAGTGGAGCTGGAGGTGAGACTGGAGACCCAACAGGCATGGCTGATGGATGAAAATGGAGTGAGAAGGGAAAAAGCGACAGGAGTTTGGATCTGAATGCCTTAAAGACCAAAGTTGCTATTTATGAAGTGGAGGAAGACTGAGAAGGGAGTTCAGAGGAGACCAGGAAGTTTAATTTTGGATACTTGGGGGTTGGGGTAACGGTTAAATCAGTGACTGTGTTTGGTGACATGTCACAGAAGCCTTACCGCAGTGGATTAACCATGCAGGATTAAGTTTTCTTGTGTAGCACAAAGTTCAGGTAGATAAGCCTGTGGCAGACTCCGTGACGTGCCAGGTTCATTCATTCTCTCTCTGTCTCTGCACCGTCACCTCCACCCCTCCCGTCATGGCGTATCACCTTATTCTTTATGGTCACAAGGCTGCCCCTACTACTTCGGGCACTGTAAGTATACCTAGGATAAGCTAGGATATCCACACCTGCTGAGTAGATCCCTTTCAGTTGAGAAAATATAATATTTTTGGAAGCCGCGACCATTAGACTTGCTGTTCACCTGGCCAGCTCTGCTGCCAGAGGCTCTGAGGGGCTGAGTGTTTTTAAAATTTTTCTTTTTAACGTTGATTTATTTTTGAGACAGAGAGAGACAGAGCATGAACGGGGGAGGGTCAGAGAGAGGGAGACACAGAATCTGAAACAGGCTCCAGGCTCTCAGCTGTCAGCCCAGAGCCCGACGCGGGGCTCGAACTCACGGACCGCGAGATCATGACCTGAGCCGAAGTCGGCCACTTAACCGACTGAGCCACCCAGGCGCCCCTGCTGAGTATTTTTAAAGGCGCACTAGCAACTCTGAAGAAATCAAGTTGCTGATGCCAGGAAGAGCATACACTTGTTGGGTGAGCAGCTAGCAGCACCCTGGGCCGTCAGCCCCAAGCCCTGGTGCCCTGGGACCTCCTTCCCTCCGAGAGGGGCGGGAGGGGATGGGAGGGGACGGGTCACTCAGAAACCTCAGAGTGGATCTGATCCACTCCAGCTTGTCTTTGATTCTAATTCTATAGGACAAACAGGAAATCCCATGAGCCCAATTCTACTTAATTGTTCCAGAGGCTCTTGTCCGGCAAACTAAAGCTATTTTTCTTCATCTACACGTACATTTTTTTCATCTCTGTTGCTGAACCTGAGTTATGTTTTGTGTTGGTTTCAACTTTTAATTACGGAAAACTTCAAACATGCAAAAGACCAGTCCCAGGAGCCCCATGCAGCCCTGACCTGACCTTCAGAAGAGCCAACTCATAGTCAGTTTTACCCACAGCCCTACCATTACTTGGAAGTAAATTGCAGACATATCATATTTCTTTTTCTTTTTCTTTTTTTTTAAAGAGAGAGAGCACAGGCCGGGGAGGGGAATAGAGAGGGGAACAGAGGACCCGAAGCAGGCTCCGCTCTGACAGCAGTGAGCCTGATGTGAGGCTTGAACTCACAAACCAGGAGATAATGATCCGAGCCAAAGCCAGCCACTCAACCAACTGAGCCACCCAGGTGCTCCCATCATGTTTCAATATGTATGTCTAAACATATAAACTCTTTCAAAAACAACCACAAGGCACCACTGTCATTCCTTAATGGCATCATTTATTTCCATGATTATCTTTTTTTTTCAAAGTTTATTGGAACTGGTATTTATTAAAACCCAAATATTTTGACTGATACGACTTTTATGTCTCCTGTAAGATATGAGTTTCCTTCCCAATTCTTTTTATCTCTTGCTTTTTTTTTGTTCTGTTTTGTTGTTGTTGTTGTTGTTGTTGTTGAAGAAACTAGGCACTTTGTCCTGCCTGAACAGTTTCCTTCAGTCTGAAGTTTTAGATTGCATTCTTACGGTGTCATGTAATATATTCCTTTGTTCCCTGTATTTCCTGTACACTGGAAGTTAGATGTAGATTCTATGGCAGGGATTAGCAAACCATGGCCTGTTTCTGTAAATAAAGCTTCAGTGCAACACAATATGCCCCTCTGTGTACATGTGGTCTGTGGCTGCTTTCGAGCTACAATGGCGGAGTTGAGTAGGATCAACAGAGACCATGTGGCCCACAAGCCTAATGTCTATTATCTACCCTGCTGGAAAAGTTTCCCACCCCCCAATTTAGAAGCTTGATGAGCCTCATGTTTGAATTTTTGGCCTGACCACTTTAAACGTGGCAATGTGTGTATGTCCACAGAATGGAACATAATGTCTGTTTCTCTCACTGTGATATTAAAAGTCATTAATAATCATTGCCTAGTCCTAGATCCATTAATTCATCAGTGACTATAAAATGGTAGATTTAGGGGCGCCTGGGCGGCTCAGCCAGTTAAGTGTCTGACTCTTGATTTTGGCTCAGGTCATGATCTCACCATTCGTGAGTTCAAGCCCCACTTCGGGCTCTGCACTGATATAGCTGAGCCTGCCTGAAATTCTCCTCTTTTATTTATTTTATTTATCTCTCTCTGCCCCTCTCTCACCTGTTGTGTCTCTCTCTCTCTCAAAATAAATAAAAATAAACTTAAAATGGTATATTTAAAATTCTAGCATTCCTTTTATCCAGTATTTAGAATACTTGTATAAAAACATAATTCCCTTCATCTACTATTTGCATACCCTGGCATAGTCTGCTTAGGGAAGGCAGGATAAATGCTGGATTTTCCAAAGCACTGAGTTGGACTCCCTAGAATCTTCCAAAGGTCTCCACTGTGTCTTATTTTTTTTAAATTGTCCTTATGAACTCATGGATTGGAACACTCACATAATAAACATGTTCCATCATGAACCTGTTCAAGTCAAACTAAAACTTTGTGACCCAGCCTTAATGGACTTCCTTGTTTCAGCCTCATGTTACACATTTCCTGCCCCAGACCCAACGTCAGCCATTTCTACAAGGAGCCCTTATTCCTTTGAGTGGGAAATGGTGTTTAGGAGCCAGAGACACAGTGGTGTGCTCACTGCTCTTGGGTTGATCATTGTTTCCAGGCCTTTTGAGTGGCAGAGCTAAGAAATAAGGATTTTGAAATGATAAATACGTCAAGAGCTCATTCTGATGCTTCAAATTCAACTTCAGAGCTATAGGGTTTTATTTCCTTTCAGTGATCTTATTACATCTGCCTCCTTTTTGTCCCATGCTAAATAATCCTAGTTCTGAAAGAAAGCACCCTAATAACTCATTTGTTTTATCCCACAAGACACATAACAGTTCCCAATAACAGTACCACCAGCACAGTTAAAGATTATTTTCAGTTCCTTTCATCCTTATTATATATTTTATGAGGTATATAAAGCCAAATTACCATCTTTTAAAGTCACTTAGACTAGTTCTTCTCTTTGTGGTTATACCACTAAATGGAT